GATAAATTTCTCATCCCAACCTTCACTCTATTCATTTTAAAAAACTAACACTTAGATGAAGCTAGATATTGAATTCCAAAATAATTTGGAATTATTGCATCATTTATGGAATCAACAACTGATTCCGTTGTTGATTTAGATATCTTGGGTCTGAGATGAGAATGATTTATGGAATCAACCAACTTTTTAAAAGGTGTGAACGATTTAGATATCTTGGGTCCGTTGTTCAAAGCGATGGTGATATAGATGGGGATGTTAATAGTAGAATTCAAGTTGGTTGGTTGAAGTGGAGGAATGCTTCGGGCCTTTTGTGTGATAGAAAAGTACCGCTAAGACTGAAAGGAAAATTTTATAAGATGGTGGTGAGACCTGCAATGCTCTATGGCGCTGAATGTTGGCCTTTAAAAGAGAAGCATAATAATAAGTTAAGTGTTGCCGGGATGAGAATGATTAGGTGGATGAGTGGCTTTACACTTAGAGACAAAATGCGGAATGAATATATTCGTGATAGGGTTGGTGTAGCTCCTGTGACAGACAAAATTAGAGAAAGTCGTCTTAGATGGTTTGGTCATATTAAACGTCGACCATTAGATGATCCGATTAGGAGAGTAGATGTTTTAAATTCGACTTGTGTTAAGAATGGCAGAGGTAGACCTAGGAAGACTTGGGCTTATTGTATTAAAAATGATCTTAATTTACTAGAACTAAATGAAAATATGACACTAAATAGGATGCAATGGAGAAAAAGGATTCATGTAGCCGACCCCACGTAGTGGGATTAAGGCTTTGTTGTTGTTGTTGTTGTTGTTGTTGTTGTATTTATTTTGAGAAATCTCATTTGGTTTGGACTTGGAATATATATATGGTTTATTCATTAAGTTGTATGGGCTAGTGTTGAGAGACTTGATATAGTGTAATACATAAAAGATAATATTCACTATAAGAGGACTTATCACCATGATTCATATATTATTTGCTTCTTTATATTGTGTGTGTTGAACTATATGGACCAAGTGGGAGAATGTTGGGATTCTTTCAATTAGGATTCTCAAATTAATTAATGCTCTGTTTCAGTTTCAATTCCCGTTGGAATTCCTTGTCGTTTTCAAGGAAAATAAATTTCATTCATTACAATTCCCAAATTAATTAATGCTCTGTTTTAATTTAAATTCCCGTTGGAATTCCTTGTTGTTTTCAAGGGAAATAAATTTCAGAATGTGGTCCATATAGTGTCTAAGTTCAACACTAGAATTCAGTAACGTTCCATAACGTTCATAATGCGAGAAAAACTCGCATATGCCCTGCTCCCTTCTTTTGAACTCTGTGATGGGCAGATCACTATAATTAAACGTGATATCCCTAAGATTGCTTCACTTCATTTTATTTGCACCATCGGGTTGTGAGTGAGAAAAACTTAGAAAATCTATAACAGAAAATTTGTCGTGAGAGTTGTGAGTGTCAACTCTGTTCGTGTAAGTTATGACTGGAGGTATGTATGATCCTATCTTGCTTCCACTTATTGATTCAAACATGTTTGCTTATGTTTGTGAACATGTTTAGATCGAATATGGTATTATTACTTCATATCGTGATTTGAATATTTATTTTTTGTGGAATTTACATAAACAATACCCAATTCTTATATATTTCTCTCACAGCCAAACTCTTATTTTAACAAAACAAATTCCCAACTTACCTTTTTCACCACTCTCCAATAATGAAATCCACATTTTCATTCATAGGTAAGGTGTAAATTTTTTGAAAATAAGAGTTTGGGCAAGAGATAAGTAAATGCATAAGAATTGAGTGTTGTGTATGTAAATTTTCATTATTTTTTATGCTTAGAAGTCTTTGTTTGTCATGACTCGTTTAATTTTTTCAGGTCAGTTACTCATATAAAACTTAAGTAAGGCTTGATTATGGTTCATTAATTTTGTTAAACAAGTTGCTCATTGATACGATAGATAATATAATCTCTACATGAATAGAGATTGAATCATGCTAGAACCGAGCTTAATGATAAATGAATTTGAACTTAAAAGCATTTCTAAAAACTTGAATGAAGAACGAGGCGAGCTCGAGCAAAATTTTAATAAACGAGCTCAAGATCGAACAAACATCTACTTGACTCGACACAGTTTATTGATTGCCCCGGCCTAAGGAAAACAAACATTCTTTTTTCATAGTTCATAATCTATTTTCAATGAATGTGAAATTAATTTATTGATATTTTTCGAATGATTTTGGACAATCTTAATAACCTAATCTTTTTAAAATGTTTATAACATTAATATATTAATGTTTCCTGAATGATTTTGGACAATCTTACTATTAAAATTTAGAATTGCCACCATACTTATGGAGCAAAGAGCTTCAAAATGAAATCCTTCATTTGACAATATGACATATAATGGTTGTAGGGCATATAATTGGTGGTAGCAGCTACTGGACTAGTATTGCCTCCTAATCGGTTGCTTTGTTCGACACTAACCAATGCCATGATTGTTCGATCACTTTTTAAATCACGGGGACATGAATTATATTCTTCAAATTTTAAAACAATTTGGATGAAATCCCATTAAAGAGCAAACATTTCACTTTGAAAAGTTGTAAGTCATGAATTTAGATATTATTTATACTTTGAAATGTATGCAGGTGCAAAACAGGTAATGTCCACCCATGAATTTGATATTTGTCAATATAAGTAATAAAATTTAATAAATTTTTCTTACATACTATAAACAATTTATAAACTTGCCTTTGAACACTACCCTTGAATGTATAAAGTTTCAAGTTTCTTTTAATATATTGAATTTAGTCATTGATATACTCTAGTGCATTAGTACTCCACTTATTAGAAGCAAAAGATCATCTCAAATGATTATGTAACACTATTAACATCAATGCCTTTGAAGTCTCGACATCACTATAAAAAAACCATATATTATAAATAGATCCTAAAAACTCTACCTAGAGGAAATTACTTGAATTGACTCTCCACATCACTATAAAAAACCATATATTATAAATTTGATTTTTTGACATTGGATTTACGCTTCTCTTATTTAACTAAGCGGCTTGATATGAGAAGCGAACATACTATTTTATCCTCAGACCAACCCAATGGACCAACTTGGGCTAGGGCCAATGAGGGCAATCAATCAGAAGTTGTAGTGATATGGCATAGTTCAATAGATCTAAAAACTCTACCTAGAGGAAATTACTTGAATTGAGTAATACCATGTGATATTTCTCTTTAAAGAATTTAAAAAAATCTTATTTATAATGAACGTCGAAATTGTCATGCATTCATACTATGTGAAACATTATATTGAAATTAACACATCCAATTTTCTCAATCATATCATAATTCAAACACTTGACAATAATACTTTATTTAATTTATAAAACTATTTAAGCTTGTTTGTTTATAATACATCTTATAATTTATTCATAATAAAAAAGTCATAAATCATTGATTTTTTTTTATATAAATATTTCATCTTACAAAGTTGGCATTAATAATGTTTAAAACTTTAGTATCACGTACATAATTATTGAAGTTTAAATGTTAGGTGTATAAATACATAAGGATGATGTCAATCTATATAAATTTTCCTAAAAATGGGAAAATATTGCATCAGTACTACGCAGACAGAGTAACGTGCGTAGCCAATGAAATAAAACCACGACACCCACACGACATAAAAAAAAAACGGCGCGGTAACACAAATAATAATCCCCCTGTGTTATTCATGTGTTATTGTGTGTTATTCATGTGTTATTGTGTCCTGAGAATATTCATTGTATTATAATAACACAATAACACATCAATAACACATGAATAACACATGAATAACATGGGGAGAATATTCCCTCATGTTGCCTCGTCGTTTTTCTCTGTCGGGAATATTCCCCCGTGTTATTCTGGTGTTATTGTGTGTTATTCATATGTTATTGTGTCCTTAGAATATTCTTGGCGTTATAATAACACAATAAACATCAGTAACACACGAACAACACACAATAACACATGAATAACACGGGGGAATATTTCCCGTGTTACCGCGCCGTTTTTTTCCTGTCGCGTGGGATGTCGTGACATGATTTCATTGACTACGCACGTTACACTACGTGTGTAATATTGATGTAATATTTTTCCCTTTTTTACATACCTCATAAGTCATATGTATTTATATATATAATGATGCCAAGCTATATAAATTTTCTTAAAAAAGGGAAAATACTGCATCAGTACTACGCACGTAGAATAACGTGTGTAGCCAATGAAATAAAACCACGACACCCACGCGACCGGAAAAAAAAACGGCGCGGTAACACGAGAAATATTCTCCCCATGTTATTCATGTGTTATTGTATGTTATTCATGTATTATTGTGTCATGAGAATATTTCTGGTGTTATAATAACACAATAACACATCAATAATACATAAATAACACACAATAACACATGAATAACATGGGGGAAATATTCCCCCGTATTGCTTCGCCGTTTTTATCTGTCGGAAATATTCCCCCGTGTTATTCTGGTGTTATTGTGTGTTATTCATGAGTTATTTTGTCCTTAGAATATTCTTGGTGTTATAATAACACAATAACAAATAGGTAAAACCCGAATAACACATGAATAACACGGGGGAATATTCCCGGTGTTACCGCACAGTTTTTTTTCCTGTCGCGTGGCGTGTCGTGATATAATTTCATTGGCTACTTACGTTACTCTACGTGCATAATACTGATGTAATATTTTTTCTTAAAAAAAGATATACTTACATACCTCATAAGTCATATGTATTTATATATATGAGAGACAAAAAGCTGATATTTATTTATAGTATTTCACTCATACCAATATCAATTATTAATTTTTTTTTTCTAATTTAAGAAAACAAATTTAGTGATATTTTTTGATGCAGCCTTAAAAAAGTTAAACTATATAAATAAATCTAACTACGAATCGTATGCTATGCATGATGAATTTACATGATTCAGGATCATGGAAACCTCAGGGAGAACCGAGCCAGAAGCGTGCCCTATTTGTCTCGATCCTCTACAGCGAGAAGCCTATCTCGATCGCTGCTTCCGTAAGAATCGGGCTTCTGTTTTTCTTGATTTATTATTATTTTTTTTGTCTTCTTTTCATCCAGGGTTTAAGGATCACTCGGGCGGGACTTAAAGTTTTACTGATATTTTACTATTTTCGTTCCTCGACCACGATCATCGTAAAGTTTAAATGCCTTCTTCTTGTTAATTTTTTCTTCACGTCATGTTTCCCATACGAACCATTCGGCGGAAATTGGAGTTGTCTTCTACTGCCGTCTGGTGTAACAAAATTGTGGTTAAAATAACAGAATTCAGGATATTCATGAGATTAAGATAGTGGCAGTTCATAATTCTATCTGTTTTAGTAATCCAAGCAGGAACGGTTTGTGGGAATCTGTGTTTGGCTTGTTAACAATTGCTGAAAGCTTGAAATAATAATTTCTAAAATGATGTCAAGCTATATCTTGAGGGTAGCTAAATGCAAACTAAATATTTCACCTCTCGATATCTGGCAATTTGATGTAGAAAAAGATGTAATGAAAAAAATAAAGGGATTTGTTATTGCTTTTCTTTAGATGGTATTACCTTGTTTTACCATAATGATATTGCACCAAAAAGACTGCCTTTAAATATGCACACACACAGACACACACACACACACACACAGACATATATATATATAATCTGAATTATTATCTTAATAAAATTGAGCCAAATAGCTTTCTAACTAATTTTGTTGAATTTCATTTCCGAATCTGTAAAATCCTTGGCGAACTATATGTTATTCAGATAATCGAGAACTGCAGACTGTAAACCCCCTGTAATTGATTAAACATTCATTTTATTTTGAGTTGAAGGGGCAGTTTAATTGAGTAATCATAAAATGAGATGCTTTAGGTTTTTTATTGCATGATGCAGCACATAAGAAACACAATATTAACTAATAATTAATGTTGAATATGTGGTTGATGTTCTTAAAACAAAAATGTATTGCTAAAAAGCATGATGTATTGTTGAGGTAGGGTTTTGATTTGTTAAGGTTGAGAACATAATCCTGTTAAATAAACTATGGGATGATTTTATTTCCTGTTGGAAGTTTTGTGCTTTATACAACCCAGTCTTTTATTGAACATGCAATTTCAACACCATCATGTATGTTCACGAAAATGTTTAGCATATTTGTCCAGATGATTGTAGTAATGAGATACATATCTATGTACTTTCTGACTTTATTTATAATTATATGAATATCACATCAAAGCATGCCAATGAAAGATTAAACTTTAGGGTTTTGTAACCTTAAGTGGTAATCCTTTAATCCTGCTGAGGAAATTGAGGAATATAATTTAAATCATTTCGCATTTATAGCAATGAAATTTCACGTAGAAAGAATTCCTTTCTAGACTGAAGGCCTGCTAAGTAAGCAATGACCATTGCTAATGGCATGCTAGGACTCTTTATTGATTAGCTGGATGTAATGGTAATCTGCAGTATGTTTCATGCAGTCTATGTTCGCAATTGGGAATGCACACAGCATAATTTGAATCATGCTCAAAAGAGTTTCAAAGTTAGAAACATTAATTCTTTGAAATACAAGAAGTTTAGGCTAAATACTTTTGGAACATTTGAAGTAAGAAGTTGCAATGGGAAAATAATGTAGCGGGTGAGGGGTAAGTATCAATGATTAATATTTGATATTCTATGTCATAAAAAAATATTATAAATGACTTACTGGAGAATATTAGTAATTATTTAACTCGATTGATAGGATTTAAAGGTAGTTTTGGTTTGAAATAGGCTATCCATGTCTGCATGTAGTTAATTACATGTTTGTCCAAAAAGTGAAATAGGGTTTAATTCAACAAGATATTTTGTTGCACGTCATTTACATTTTTGCCATCCAATTCTTTCTTGGCTTGGCAGTTGTAAATAGGTTAATTTGTTATCCAAACGATGTTTGACTCTTAACGGATTGTAAATATTGCTTGATGAATTTGATTACGTCATAAAGAAAGACACTGCTTGATGAACTTCTAGAAGTTGTATTGGCCTAGGGCTTAGCATAGCTTTCTTTTTTTCCAGGAAATAACGTTAGGGAAAATAGCTTATAATAATAGATCAAGATTGACTTTAGTGTGGTGGCCTTTGATGAATTTGATTACATCATAAAGGAAGACATTGCTTGATGAACTTCTAGAATTTGTATTGGCCTAGGGCTTAGCATAGCTTTCTTTTTTTTCCGGGAAATAACGTTAGGGAAAATAGTTTATAATAATAGATCGAGATTGACTTTGGGGTGGCAGCCTTTGATGAATTTGATTACATCATAAAGAAAGACAGTGCTTGATGAACTTCTAGAAGTTGTATTGTCCTAGGGCTTAGCATAGCTTTATTTTTTTTGTCCCGGTAAATAACGTTAGGGAAGATAGCTTATAATAATAGAACAAGATTGGCTTTGGGGTGGTGGCCTTTGTGTGGCGTGTTATGTCACCTATGCCCCTAAGCTTCCTAACATGATAAGCCAACATTTGTGCACACCTGTATGAAAAAAGCAGTGTGTAGGCAATGGCTATCATAGAGTTGCCTATTGATATCAAGGCTCTCATGATTTTGGCTTACTCCTTAACTTATTTCGAATATGATATAGGGGCTGTTTAATTTCTTAGGTCATGTTCGAGTTATCTATTATACCTTATATTAGCGGGTCATTGGGTCGGTTTTGGGTTAGTTATGTAGAAGGCGGGTCAGGCTCGAGTTTAGGTTAAGCAGTTTTAGGTTAGGCTGGGTAAGCCCCAAACTTGACATTTGAACCTAATTTGGTACCCTCTAAGTAAAGGAAAATAGGGAGAAAAACAAGTAAAATACTCCATACCATTCAGTGCCTGAAATCTAGCTTGATAAATATAGAAACTTATAATGTAGAAAACATGGAAGAAATAAACATATCCTTGTAGGAAAAAATAAACATATTGATACAGGTTTTTAATATAACACAGGTTAAATAAATGCGATATGATTCCAATAAATAATCCCAAGATACCCGAATACTTTCTGCCTTCCAAAACCGCCTCTACCTTAGTAATCCATAGGCTGCCATGCGTTATTGGAGAACACCGGTTGCTGTCTATTCATTGTTATAGCTACCATTCCATCCAAGGTTGCCTAGAGCCTTCATCTTAACAATTTGCGGCCTTTCCAGTTTTGTATGGAAGAGAGAGTTTTTTATGGAAGAGAGAGGGAGGGAGGGAGATTGCAACATTTACACTTTCCCCCAAACTTGTTTGTCAACACCCCGCAAACCAAGCTTGTTAATTAATTTTTCATATAGGGGTCTATCTTGTACTTCTGTAAGTTATCACTCATTTGACCGGAGGAGAGATAAAAAATACATATAATTTCATCTTAAAATTTTTTTGTAAAGTATTGATTTATCTCCACATATTTGGTTCGAGCATGATGGACCAGATTGTGTTATGCATTAATAGCAACTTTATTATTACAATATACTAACATAGGAGTTTTGATCATTACCTGAAGTTTTAGGACTAACTTAAGCTCTATTGATTCACTAATCCCATTGGATGATGATTTAAGTCCTGCTTTTGTTCTATTCTTTGCCGTAATATTTTTTTGTTACTTGTCTAGGTTTGAAGAGTAGATCACACATAAACGGAGTATTCTAAGGTTGATCAAACTTTCGTCCTTTATGAACTCCGTCCAATCAATATTTTCGCAGGCTTCTATTTTTTTGTAATTTCCTTTCTTAAAGAGAAGCCTTTTTCTATGATTTTTTCAAGGTATTTGAGCATCCTTGTAACAATTTTCATATGTTCTTCATGCGGGGCATGCATGAACTTATCAAGATGCCAATAAGACTATGCTATGTTTGGTATAAGGTAAATATATGAGTTTTTCTACCAACCATTTATATCTTTCTTTATTAATATGATAATTTTAACAATATCACTTAATTTCATGTTAGGATATTGATCTACCCCAGCTATCATCACAATTTATATAAGGCCTGGTAAAAGCATCCGAAACTTGATCTCCTCCATAAAAAAATGATTGAGTTCTTAAAATTAGGTATTATTATTCATTGGGGTTTCTCACGCAAGTATACTTATTGTTTCAATAATATAGGGTTCTATTGAGTCTAGAATGTCGATCTTACAGGGAAGGGGAGATAGATGATTTCTAAGGTAAAGTTCTAGTCTGTTACTTTCAGGTCTTAGTTTGGAATATCGTTAAGGGTGTTTTTTTTTAATAACTAACCCTAAGTTACTTTTCTATACCTAAGTTAAACTTGTCTAGATCAATTAGTTAGGTAAAATTCAAGATTGATAAGAGTATTTTTCTCTTGTGAAATACTAGGTAGGTTGTAGGTATTACTACTAGGAATTATGATGTTATAATGACAAAATAAACATAAGACTCATTTACCTTTTTTCGAGTGCATAAATAAGTATGGTTCAAATTTTTTTGCTCTTGTTTTCGGCTGTCACTCCTGATTATCGGTTCGAACATTGTTTGTTGTGGGTAAGGATCCTTCAGTATTGATTTCAAAAAGGTTTGAAGCTGTAGGTTGCACAGCAGAATCATCCGACAGCACATCAATTGCAGTAACAAAAATAGTATTGTCAATATGAGGGTCCCTAGGGGCAATTAAATCAAACACCAACTCCTGTCTTATGGTAAATCCCTCCACAGGTGGAGTAGATGTGTCCAGAGCAGTGGGGTTAAACACATCCTTATTCATTTGAGCTTTAGGTTTCAAGTTAGGGTGGAGCCTGTGACATTTATCAAGGGGATGCCCAAACATCTTACAATGGGTACAATAAAAGGTTATATGTTCCATGACAATTTGTTGCCAATATCCATTATGTGTTGTGTCAGCCAGACTTTTGTAATATCATGTAAAGTAATATCCCTCTCCACAAGTATTTTGACAACAGAAGGTCTGATTATATTGAAGGTGGGTATATCTAGCTTCATAGGATTCCCAATTATGGCTCCAATAGAGTAGAGAACCTGATGATTA